CCTCTATTGCAAGGCATATAATTCGTTACTGGGACCTGCTGGTTGTTAGATAGGGTATAACTGGGTCTTTTTAACATATAATGTTTGTTTTTTTTGTTTTTTAATTTGGTTTTAAATTTTGTATTGCCAACATTTTAAAGAAGTTTGAATATGTTTTAATTGGTATATTTTATATTGTTTTTAAATATGTTAGCTGCTCAGAGAGTGGTATAGAAATTACATAAAATAGCAAAGAAAGAAATCTATGAATGAAAATTATATGTTTTCTTTTGGATGACTCACTATTGTGAGTGTCAACATTAGTTTCTTTATCTAAATGTTGATATTATCTTTTATAATGGCTTCATGATACCTTGCTTGGATTAATTTTGTTTAGGTCTTGGTAAAGAACTGAAGTTATCCTTGCATCATATTGAGCTCATGCAATATGCATCTGCTCATTAACTTAGCTTTTTTAAAAAAGTGAATTTATTTCTGAGTGCTCATATATCCCCCCATCCCTGTGATATAGGGGCTCTTGCAATTTTTTATAATATACTTTAGCTATTAAATATTGAGGAGCAGTTCCAGTTTAATAGTTGGTGACCTCAAGTTATCAGTCTTCTGTCAACTCCCTTTGCTCTGCTGCTCAGAGTCAACTTGACTGCTTTTCAAATTAAATTGTGTGCATTGTGGGGCCTTTTCATTTTCTGCTGTTAAATTATGGAACAGTCTACTTCTCTTGAGGCTGCACAAATAACTCCCTAAGATTGCATGTTGCTTCACATGCCATCCTTTGAGATACCAGTTTTGGTCTTCCTGGATTACAGTGCATTAATTGGTGAAAGGAACAACCATACAATCTCAATAATGCAGTTGACTGGGATATACACAGCTCTTGAATAACCAGCTGTTTAGGTAATCAAATACTCTGTTTGCATATGTTTTCATTGTTGTAGGTAACACAAATTAAATAGACTGTTTTAAATAAATAAATAAATAAATAAATAAATAATCAATCAATCAATCTGGTGGCTGCAACAGGAGTGGTAGATCAGAAGTTACTTGATTTGAACTGAAGTCTTTACTTAAATTATTCTTAAAAATATTTGAATTGTATGTTACAATTGATATAGCTTGGGTAAGTTCAGATATAATGATGGATCCCTGAAAAATATGGTTTTTCAGATTGGGAACTGGCAATGAAAGATGAGGGTGGAACAACTTTTCTCTCCTATGTTACATTGCCCTGCATCCTTTGCTCTGGAGTGTTACGTGGATACCATTGCAAACTATAGTGAAATTCAAACCTGGATGTAGAATAACCAGAGCTTTTAACCCACTAGTTAAAACTCAGAAGGAAGAAATTGGACAGGGAAAGGGAATGCACATCAGTGTGGCTGGCAAGCAATTTAGAAATCATGATGTGCAATCCTTGCATATAAACCAACCCAGTATGTATGTTGGGCACTTTATTCACTGTTGTATTATTGCCATATAAACCCTGTTGCACTTGACATTCTTTACAGTTGCTTAGTTGCTTGCCTTCTGACTTTTTAAAGGGTCATTCTATACCTGTGTTAACAAGCTATCTCTACTGAACAGTATCTTGCAATGACTTAAATGAAAAATATTTATAGTGTTTCTGAGCAAGAGGACCAGCTTTTACTCAAAATAATAGAATTGTTTTCCTTGGTTTATGTGTCTTTAAAAGGAACAATTTTTCTAAAATGTTGTAATCTTGCATATAGATTTGTGTGTAGATCTGAGAACTAGGTTTTATATTTGTAGGCTAGCTCTGAGCAGTTGATATACTTAAGCAACACCCAGTCTGTACAGAACCTGTTTGATACTTAAAGATTTGCCTGCTGGCAGAGATTTAATCCCTTCCAAGGCACAAGTGTTTGCTATCACTTCCATTCCTTAGGCATTTTTCTTGAATCTCAGCTGAAATAGGATGCTGTAAAGTTGTATTAAAATAGATTTGAAGTTGGATCATTCATCCTTCTCAGAAGGAGTACTGCTGAGCTCTATTACTGGAAAGGTCAGGTCTTTGTTTTATTAAAACAACATACACATTCCTATGGCCAACATTTGGATGTGAGACTATGTATCAGTGTCTGCTAGAGTTTGTGCATGTAGGCATACATGCAAGTTAATCTGTACATGTGGGTAATTTGCTGCCACTAGCAGGTTGGGACAGCATTTTCTGCTCATAAGTAAGCGTAACTAAATAGCTCAGCAACACTTTCTAACAGCATCCCAAGTTCCAAGCCTCTGCATATCTACTCAAGAGCAAGCAGGACATACCTCAGAAGTGAGCAAGTCTAAATCATTCAGCAGTTCTCCCCAGGCTCTGCCTCCCTTTTTCTAGTAGGAAGAATTGTGATCGCCTTACTAGAAGGCCTTGGCAGTTATAGGCGGCCTATAAATACATGCACGATCAATCAATCAATCTCTGGTGGGTATGAGATCAGAGATGTGAGCTTTCATTTGCAAAGCCCTGAGAGAGGCAGCATTTTCATTGTTCATCAGGAAGTTCTAACTCATCAGTACGCCCATTTGGACATTTGGGCAACCTACCTAAACCTGTATTAGTGATGAAAAATGGGAACTTTTAATATATGTCTGTTTATAAGTGTGCATATATGTATGCATGTACATTATTAGTAATACTCTCAAGTAATATTCTGTTCATTGCTGTGTAAATGTATGTTTTAGTTTTATTTTCTGTATATCACATAAAAATTATAAATAAAAAAATACTGAGCAGAGGTGAGAGATTTGCCCTGCTGGGAAATGGAGGCAGGGCCTGGAGGAGGAACTGCGGGGAGAGTTACTTGGGCTGCAGGGTTGGCAGTGCCATTGGCTTTGTGGGCCTTACCAAGCGGTGCCACTTGTGCACTATGGATCTAAAGAGGTAGAGTTCCGCAGTTTGCATGGGCAGTGTGATCTGTGGTTTGGTGTTATGGTCTAAGGTTTTATAAAACTTCTATTTAGCAGGAAGCCAAATGTTTTCATTATTGTGTTAACCTTGTAATATGCATGATTGTTCAGGAATTATGTGAATTACAAAATAGGCAATTTGATTTAAAACAATAGTTTAAACCTACATTTTAATATTGTCTAAATACCTTTGATTTGATCAGTCCACTTTGTATATGGTGGGCAAATAATTCTTACAACAACGCTGTCGGATGAGTTAGTATTATCCTGATATTGCAGCTGAAAGAGCCAGTGTGGTGTAGTGGTTAAGAGCGTGGTACTGGGACTCAGACGATTTGGGTTCTAGTCCCCGCTCAGCCATGGAGCCAACTGGGTGACTTTGGGCCAGTCACACACTCTCAGCCCAACCTACCTCACAGGGTTGTTGTTGGGGGATAAGATGGAGGAGGAGAATGATGTAAGCTGCCTTGAGCCCTTTGTAGGAAAAAGGCAGGATATACATTGAAAAATAAATAAATAAATAAATAAAGGTAGCTGAGAGTAGCATGTGAAAGGCCATCCAGGAGATCACAGCAACCATGAGATTCAAACCAGGGTTTCCCAGTGCACAGCTATGATCCTTAGGCTGCAATCTTATGCATACTAACCAAAGCTGCATTAAACACAGTGGAATTTATGTCTCAGTAAGCATGTGTAGGACTTAAAGTGAGTCTTCACAGAGCAAAAGTCTAACAGAGTTATATGGCACATATGTTCAGAATGCTTGGGGGTTTATTTGCACCAGCAGAGAACATCCAGAGTGCATGAGTTCACATTTGGCCCACATTTCATTGCATCACATTTTTCCACTGTTCCCGGTAGTTATACTACATGTGTATAAGCAACTCCTGTAAAGATAACATAGTTTCCTCAGATGGAAACATGTATACTATTGACTTAACATTTATTTCTTCTTATTTCATGTTGTTGTTGTTATTGTTACTGTGTTCCATATTGGTTAGAGTGCTAGGTTGGGGCTTGGGAGATCTGAGTTCTGGTTCCCACTCAGTCATGAGACTCACTCAGTGACTCTCAGACTAATCTACCTCACATGGTTGTTGGGAGGAAAATATGGAGGAGACTCTTGTAAGCCACCTTGAGTTCTTTGGAAGAGGACAAAAGGTGGGTAATAAATGGAATGTAAGAACAAATGATAACATATTTTTGTTATTGTTAATGGTGGGGATGGTGATGTCTTTTGGCCTTAACAGTATGCTAAATTATTGTTTGAAGTACTTAATGTGGTTGTCCAATAGCTTGAAATTCTCCAAAGGATTGCTTAGAACTTGCAAGCTGAAGGGAAAGTATAATATAGAAAAAGATGTAAAAAGTTTTCTAAGGTAAAATCTATGCTTAAACTTCTGACTAAAGGAGGAATAAGGTTATTTGCTGATAAAAATGTAGCAAGAAGGGAAATGTGTAGATCGGGGGAAGCTTCCACCTCTTAACTATTTCTGTGTAGTTTTTCCTGGAGAATATAATTAAGCCCTTAGAGCCCTAATGCTTTCATATTCAGGGTACTTTCTTCCTCTCTCAGAGCTTTCAAGGATATGCTGTCATTATTGGTAGAGCAGCTGTGAATTAGACATTGTTTATTTGTCTCAGAGTGACTTGGATAGAGATTTATATCGTCATTTATCAAACTTGACAAAATCTGTTTTAATGCATCCAATTTTGATGACATTCCACTTATTAGAGCGAATTTAGTCAATTAACATACAATAAGCTACTGCTTTCTAATTACTGAGTGAGAAGCTTGTAGCTTTATCCTCTTTATTTTGTTTTATTTTATCTTATTTTTAGCATATTTATGCCCCTGTATATTTGAAATATTTCTCCATTATTTGACATTTCATAATGTAAGCCTGATGATGATACAAGGTTGGGTTCCTGGAGACCATGGAGTGCAAACTGAAAAACCAAGCTCAGGGACCTCCCCTTACCAGAATAAATGCTCTCTCTGTTTTGCTTGCCATTGTATACAAACTGAGCTCCCCTTTAATCAGGTTTACTATGTTTCTTTACCTTAAATGCAGACACCAGGTTTCCAGGTAGACCATGAAGTGGTGCTGATCAGAACTGATAAGGCTGGTAGAGCATGGCCTGTTAATACTCCAGAACTGCAAGAGTCCACAAGCAGGAGGAGGAAGAAGCAAATGGTACATGTAGTGATGAGTCATATTTAAATTATTAGAATATATTTTATAAATGTACTGCATAGGTGGTGGATACTGAACAAAACATACCTTGAACATGAAATGTCATGTAAGACTATTACTATACTGTTACTTAGAATGCCATGAAATAAAGGGCTATCTTTCTTTGTGGAAAGAGATGGTCAATGCCAGTTGACCCAACAGCAAGATTTCAGATTTTCCTGCCATTTGGAGAGATGAGATTATATTTGTGCACTCTGTTTGGTAAAAGGATGTTCACCCATGCTTTGTTCCCAGATATAAAAAATCAGCCCTGTTCTTTTCAACAGCAATTTGCAGAAGCCTGTTTTGTTGATAGTACCTGATAAGAAATCAGATAGTTTCCATGAATTGTGGTTATATCAGTTTGTAGTTATTTTTGCTGAAATCAGGACATTTTATAAAATTCAAGTACTAATTTGGGCTGGTTGAATTTTTACACAGTATTTGTTCCAGATTAGTTTATTATTTATTTATTAAAAACCTTTGTAGGCTGTCCTTTATATAAATATCTCAGGACGGAGATATTAGTTGGCAATCAAAGCAAGTGAATTTTCATTCATTTTCAGATTACTACTCATGTGGATAAGGAAAGAGTCCGATATTTTCAAGATGATGATAATCTTAGTTTGAAGGATTTGGTCAAAAATGAGAAGATGAGAACAGCAGAGGATCAAAATAAGCTTTTCATGAGAATGGCATCAAAGGTATGGCCTATTGTATCTAAATGTTTACTAAAATGGGAAGGTTGTTTCTAATATTAAAGAAAAAATATTCTTCTTATTTTCAGTTTTCAAGAAAAGAAAGGTCTTTTTGGCATAAAATGTTCCAAGGTAACTTCAGGTCTTTATGGGGGCCTTGTATGGTTATCAAAATTTAGGTTGGCAATGCGTCTTGTTCAAATAAACAAATATGGCTAACATATTTAAATTATATTTAAAATATAGTCTAACAGTGTTAACCTTCTGCATATAAATTCAAAGGTTAAGTGTACTTAACTATCTGGATGTATCTGTTTACCTTTTCAAATTCAAAAATCTCCTTTTGCACTTACAGCATCTGATGAAGTGGGCTGTAACTCACAAAAGTTCATGCTAATTTATTAAAATATATGAGCAACTAAAGCAGTTGGTTTGCAATTGTGCTACACTTAACCCTTGAACTTAAAATACAGTCTGTCTAGTGGAAACTCTGAAAGATGTAAATACCTGATCTGGATGTGGAGTGAATGTGAGGAGCACTTCCAGCCACATATCATCCTCTTAATCTCTGTTGGAAAACTAATAACATTTTATCAAATGGTTTCCTTATTCTTCTAGAGCTCTTTTATGCAGCTGGTGATGAGTACACATTATCTAAAAGTTCATCGGAAAATACTAAGTGTTAACAAATTGGTAGTAGATATTGAGACCCTAATGTTCTAAAATAAAGATTGATATAATGGTATGGAAATCACCCCCAGTTTTGTTGGAGTACAAAAGTAGTCCCAGGAGTAAGCTGGTGTAAAGAAGTCATGAATGCTTAACCCTATCTCAGTCCTGCACTTTTCCACTGTTAATCACCCCAAGCTATATTTTGCCTCTTCCCAAATGAAGACCTATGCTCTGCCTCCTCCCTCTTCACATTAAACAAGTGATGCAACCCTTCCTATTGGAGAGATAAAGAGCAATTTAGCAACATCTTATGCTCATGGCAAGTGTTGACTCCCCCGCCCACCCCTGCCACCGACTGCTTGCCATCTTTAGATACTTAGATATATGAAACTAGTCATGATAAAGAAAACTATGTCTTTTTCCTTAGGTCAGTATAGAACAGCATAATAAGATGGGAGGTGTCTTTGATTCTTTCCCTCTGTGTGTGTGTGTGTGTGTGTGTGTGTGTGTGTGTGTGTGGGGGAGGGGAGGATGGTGGGGCATGATGCATATAGTAAGGTTTAGGAACAGATGGATTTTTATACTTGACTTTCTAGCACTTGAAAGTAGTCTTTACCTTTTGGTCCCTGTAAAAGCCCTTAAAATATCTCCATTTAAGTCTCACAATTGCCTAGTGAGAGAAGGTAACAAGCTCAAAGGCTTAGTCTTACAGCATGATTCACAGCTGAATAAGAATTTTCAGGGAGTGTATATATTGTTATATAATCTTTAAAAATATATGTACTGTTGAGAAAACTGAAAGTTACTGATTTATTTTTTTCTGTAAAAGCAATATCAGAAGTCATTTTATTAATGAAATGTACAAAATTGATAGCCATATAATGACTTGCTCTTTGATGCTTTCATTTGGGAAAGAAATGAAAAAAAATATCAGTTAAAATGAATGTCATCTTCCTTAAATTGATGGAAGTGTAAAAATGATGTTCTGTCCAGTATGTGAGAAAAAGTGGTCCTTCAATACTGTAGAAGGCTTTCATTAATCTTTTTGAAATGCTGGCTTTGGTGTGTCTGTATTACTTTAAATCAGTGGGTTTTTCCAAGGAATAATTCCTGTTCCAACCAAGAAATAAGAATTATGGTTTGTAATATGCATTAGATATTATGCACATTGTAGTTAAACAACACTATGATTATCTTCTGGTTTTAAATTTAGGATATAGTAAGCCATTTATTTGATGAAGTTTTTATTCTTTTTGAATAAATGAAAGAATAAAAACTTGGAAACTCAATAATATAGGAACACTGAGGTCAATCTCAATGTCTTTGCTTTCAACATGAAAGTCAACTAGATTTCACTTGTGTGTAAAGCTGTCCAAAGGGATGATTTTCAATCTGCATTATGTTCAATAGAAATTGCAAATAGAAATAAGTGATTGTGCAGGTAGAAGACACCTTGGAATAAAGCAGTCTTTAAAGAAGTAATTCCAAGTAAAAGAAGATGCAAAGAAAGCAAAACTAAAGGTACTCAATTTTAGAAAAGCTGTTCTGACACTGTTGGAAATGAACAACCATGTACTATCTGGAAGACAAATTAAACAGGGGATTAAGAGAGAATAAAGGTGGGCAAATTTAGAATTGCTTGCAGTTGGCTGACTGGTAGCACACATGCCTTGCATGAGGAAGAGACAGATGCCAGTTGCTGCCATCTCTAGTTAAAAGAATTGATACCAGGTGATGAAAGAGTCTTCTCTCTTTATGAGAACTGCTGCTAGTCCAACCATGCAATTTCATGAGCTAGATCAGACAAAAAATTCTGACCTTATATAAGGTAGTTTATTATGTTCTGTACTCCAGATATAAGAACTAGTAAAGCACATCATCATTTTCACGAGCTGGTCAGTGGAACAGATGTATATCTCGTAAGAGCTGCTGTCTAGGTGACCTTTTCATCCCTTCAGAGTTAAACAAGGAAACCTCTCATAAGCAACTTTTATTATGCAAAACTGCAAACAAGCAAAGGAGCTGTCTTCATGTTATGGATTAAAAGTGTTTTGCAAAAATCAATTACAAAGGAAATGGGCTGAGTTAGAATTCTATAGAATTGGTTCATTGATGCAACCGCAACTAGACTGAAAGTTGATTCCAGACTAATTAAAATTGACTAATGCCTTCCCCTCTTCAGTAAAGGATCTTTCAAAACAGAGTCTTTAAGTCCTTTCCTTATTCTGCACACCCAAGAATGCCTTATCTTTTTTCATTGTTCTTCCCTTCTTAATTAATGCCTCACCCTTGGATCTGGCAGGTGAACACCCTCCCCAAGCTGTTTCTCTTCAGGAAAGCTTTTTTGGTGGATTCAGGAACACCTCTTATCTCTTTCTCCCTTATCTTTGGCTCTTAATTCTCCACTTTCCCAATCCCTTGGCATCTGAATCAGATTCCAATTCCATGTCCCTTTGAGTATTCTCTGCAGGGAGGAATTCCAGGTGATACCTCCCTGATCCATACTACTCCTTGCCTTAGGAAAGCAGGATTTGTTTTGTAGTCCATGACAGTCTACCAGAGAGGATTCCTGACTTCCAGTGTTAATCCTTCTAAGGATACCAAACCTGGGGCAATTATTTCATATCTCTTTTTAAGGAGCAATGTCTGCATTTATTTGTTTTCCTAAAACCTCTGCTATGGAACCTCTTAACCTCTTGGTTCATGGGAGTTAAGAATACTTTTTTTCATCTTGCTGTTGACGATGGTGATGGGCAAGATGCCTCTCAAGAATCCTTGTCATGATTATTTTATTATTTTATTTTTATTTTTATTATTTATTTATTTAAGATATTTGTATGCTGTCCTTTGCAAGAGCCTCAGAATGGCTTACACAAATGAAATACAAATACCTAACATAACATAAATTAACGACCTACTCTGGCTGCAATTAAAATATGATGATAAAATTCAATATTAAAACTCATTAAAATATTGATTAAATAAAAAGGTCTTTCAGATATTAAGATTAAATACCTTAATATTCTTCGTCATGGCCTCTGTGTATCACACATATGGGTGCTGCGCCTGTGCAGTGCCTAGGCTGGAAAGATTGAAAGCTAACGGTTTTTGGTGGGAAACTCCGCTCTCCTCCGCCTTGGTAGCATATATATAGAGTGGAGTGTCTGCCATTTTCTCCAGTCTTTTGCGACCGCCGTTCGCTGTGCCTCGTGCCTGTTGGTTTCTCGCTCGACTCAGTATTCTTCATTACTTACTGTTTGTCTTTTTGCTCTTATTCCAAGTTATTGTTCCCTTGTTGCAGTTTATATCTCCTTTTTCCCTTTTTCTTTGTTCCCAAAACAAAAACAAAAACAACCCCCCCCCCCCAAATATATTGCTTTTCCCTCTTTCCTATATTCTGTTTCTTCTGTTTCTGCGATGGTGCAGCGAGCGGCCTTCCGCAGATGTGCGGAATGTGGGTCCAGAATGTCTCTGGCGGACCCGCATGACTTGTGCCTCCTTTGCCTCGGCGAGGGGCACAGGACTGATAAATGTCGCCACTGTCTTCATATGCCCCACGCTGTTTTACGAACATTGACTTGGTGGATATCTCTGGCCAGTTTAAACGTGGGGACCCCCTTCATCACCCCTCACCCGACAATGACGCTATTCACTGATGCTTCATTGGTCGGGTGGGGTGCGGTATGCACGGGGCTTTGATCCCAGGGCATGTGGAACTGCCAACAATCGTTGAGCCACATAAATTACCTTGAGCTACTAGCGATTTTCAAGGCACTCCGGTCCTTCGAAGTAGCTCTTTGCCACCAAGTGATACAAATCACGTCTGACAGCATAGTGGCAGTATTCTATATCAACAAACAAGGTGGAACAAAGTTCACCACTCTAGCCCGCCTATCCATGGACATTTGGGACTGGTGTATCCCGAGAGGTATAACCCTTTTGGCGGTCCATCTGGCCGGAACCGACAACGAAGAGGCAGACACCCTGAGCAGACACATGTCAATCACCCACAAATGGGAACTGAATCACCATGTCTGCATTCAATTGTTCCAACTGTGGGGACATTCAGACATAGACCTATTTGCTACCCACAGAAACAAGGTGTGCAAAAGATTCTGCTCCAGGGCGGGAATAGGACTGGGATCGTTGGGGGATGCCCTTATGATCCCATGGACAAATCTCAGGTTTTACGCATTCCCACCTATTCCTCTATTGACCAAAGTCGTCTCGAAGATCATGCACAATGATGCCACAGGAATACCCATAGCACCTTGGTGGCCCTGTCAAGCATGGTTCTCCACTCTCCTTTGGATCTCGGACGGCAATTTCCTTTG